CTCTGACTTTTAGTGCCAGGAAAACTCCATATAGAAGAAATGATTATGTAAGTCTCTAATGGGTTTTAAGAATTGTAGATTTAAACTTATGGCAGCTTACCAATCAGTTTCAGAGTCGGGGAAAAAGAGTCATAATGCAATTTTTAAAAAGCTCACAGAATAAGCAGGATTAACTCTTTTGAAAAATGTGCTTTAATTCCAGGCATTTATTTCCAGGCAGTAGATTTCTCTGACCCTCAGACTTACTCAGTCTGGTGGAGGCGTGATTTAGTTTATTTTATTTATTTTATGGACCCCCCAGACCTTAAGAATATTCAAACATCAAAGTCAGCCTTGACAAAGGGAGAGCCTGTGGCTAGTGGCCTGCATGTTGCCGGACCCAAATAGGTTTGGTTCATTCCAGCACCAAAGAGTCAAGGATTCCTGGGAGTTGATACATTCTAGACCCCTGGAGGGAGCAGGAGAGAGGTTATCCCCCTCAGTCTGTGGCTCCCGTGTTGCTGTCTGGACAGATGGGACGTCAGGTTTCACTCAGGTTTTTGGCACAGACTGTTTTCGGAACATCACAAAGGAAGTCCTCAAGTTGGTCATTGTCACAGAGCAGTGTTCGGCAGGTTCATGGCTGTGCGTGCTGGGGACTTCACTGGACAAAGTCAAGCTCCTTAGGCCAGACTGGCTTGGCCAAGTTACCTCTGGGGACTGTGCCCTTGGGAAGGGGTCCTGACAACTGAGACTGGACGGTCCAACAAGAACCAGAATGGGGCAGAATCCTCCCTCCTGCCGCTGTCAGCCTCTAGCCTGATCTCCCTGGTGGCCCTGGGCTTCCTGCATTCCTAGCAGGTCCCCAAGGTCTCAATTTGTGCGAGTGCTCAGTCCCGTTCTGAGTCATCTGTATTTACAGCCTGGGCTAGCACACTGGGCCTGTGAGGGCATTCTGTAGCAGTTGCTGTATTTTAAAGATTTTGAGAACCAAGGCAAACCTCCCAGGGACACCCAGGAGTAACTGGGAGCCATTACAGATGTGGTGAGAGCTTACAACGTCAACCCCAAAAAGACAGTGTTTTCCCTCCGCGTGAGCTTCCTAGGGATTCCTTATCAGATGTTATAGACAGACGCTCCTAGCTTCTGAATTGAACCACACCCTATAATTCTTACAATATGCTTGCTCTTCAAGAGAAATTGGTAGGGGGCTGACGAGATGGTTCGGTGGTTAGAGCACTAGCTACTCTAGCAGAGGACCTGGGTTCAGTTCCCAGCACCCATATGGTGGCTAGCACTCTTCCATAACTCCACTTCCATAACTCAGAGGAATCCAGTGCCCTCTTCTGACCTCCACAAACACTACGGGACACGGGTGCACTTGCACACATGCAAGCAATGCACTCATACACATAGCATAAAAATAATTTTTTTAGCTGGATGTGGTGGCACACACCTTTAATCCCAGCTCTTGGGAGGCAGAGGCAGGTGGATCTCTGTGAGTTCAAGGCCAGCCTGGTCTACATAGTGAGTTCCAGGACACCTGGGGCTACAGATAGACCCTGTCTCAAAAAGACCAATAATAATAATAATAATAATAATAATTTTTTAAAGGGGACATGATAGATGAATTCTGGGTCATAAATTCCATCTCAGGGCCTCTGTGTCATCTAACCAAGCCCTTGAGTACATTTGGACACCAGAGTCATGGTGATAACTCTGGATATTTCCATATAGCATCTTGGGGTAACAGAATGTCATGTTAAAAAATCCACCTGAAAATCAGCAGTATCAGGAAGGGGCCAGGCAGCCTCCCTTCATAGCTGGAGGCTTATTTTCGTCAGATCAACC